ATTCGTGGTTCTAGCTTCATGTTATCCTATCGATTTATTCCATTTGTCAGATAATTCTTTTCACCCATCCGGAGTATTTCAGAAGTTGTTTTTCCATTTCTTTTCACCGGAGGCCATCGTTCCAGAAGAATTCTTCGTCCTCATATTTCAGTTACCGTTATCCAATTATTCCGGTGCTTCCTTCAAGTGTTCTTTAATCAGCTCATGATCTCTTTGTCCTTTTGCATCTAAATCCCCTCGAGCATATTTGTTCTTCTAATTCTTCCCAGTGATCCAGTCCCTTTCATCAGTCATTTTCATTTCTAACCGTGGTTCGTTCAAGATTCTTTTTCCTTGATCATCATTTTAATTCATTCGTTCTTTTCAATTCTACTGGTGGTTTAGTAAGACCTTCTCAAGTTTGCGGCATGTCACTTCTCAATCCTTTTCAAGAAGAATAAGTAGTATGAAAAATCCATTGCTTGTCATCAACTAAATTTAATGAAGGATAACCATACAATAAATCTTATTCTTATTTCATCCAAGTGAGTAATCCCTTCCTTCGGAGTTTGTTCTTCATGAATAAATTCTAGTTCCAAGTGTTCCCCATCTTTTCTTTTCCGGAGTTCAAAATTTCCTTGGCCATCTCGTCGGAACCCCCATTTAAATCATCGCAAGAATTTTATCTTATTCATTCCATCCTCTCAAGTTCATGTTCTTTTCCTTCCATTTTCAGCCGGAGTGCTGCCTAAATCCTTTCAGTCTTATTCGTTTCTTATCTCATTCTAACCGGAGTGTTTTCATAGTCTATCTGATTCCGTGAGCTTTCAATTCTCGTCATTCTCGTCGTTCCTCTCTTCTTCTCGAGTGCTCTTGATTCTTTGCTTCTTCTCTTGAGTTATTGCTTCACCTCATCCCTTTTCCCTTCCGTCTCGGTCCTAAGATCTTGAGACGAGATCTCTTGTTAGTGGAGGAGTGTTGTAACGCCCCGGATTCGATGCGCCAGGTGTCTGACTGTTATTCGTCGTTGTTGCCATGTCATTTGCTTGCGTGTTGCATTTTGTCATGTCATCATGTGCATCTCATTTTGCATACGTGTTCGTTTCTTGCATTCGAGCATTTTCCCCGTTGTCTGTTTTGCAATCCGGCTCTCCTATGTCACTCGGCGTCCCCTTCTTGTCTCTCTTCGTGAGCGGGTGTTAAATGTTCTCAGAATGCACCTTCCTAGTGGTCCTGAGTTGATGCTAACCGCGGGAATATGCACTAACGATATTCACAAACTCTTCTTTCGCTGCGCTCCAAGTTGGTAACGGTCAGATCTACCCTTGTATGCACCTTCCTAGTGGTCCTGAGTTGATGCGTAGGACAAATTATTTTTGTTTTCTGTTGTGTATCCCTACACATCACTACTGCAGGAATGCCTAGTAGCGGCGGGCGCCAAATGGCCAGCAGGGGCGGGCCAGGCTCCTAGGGGCGCCCGCCACTGACCTTCTGTCACTGCTATAATGCCATCAGTGGCGGGAGGGCGCCTGCCACTATTAGAGCCTATCCAGTGGCGGGCAGTCCTACTTGCCCACCATTGGTACATGTTATTAGTTGTGGAAGGCGGTACCTGTCACCCGCCACCACTACCTCTTCAGCCTCCAGCCATTCCAGCACCTGATACACATTACATGATACAAATAACGACATTATAGCATACAACAAACGTAAGCGACCATACATATTACATTTTAGCAATAATCTAAACTTCATACAAATAGATGTACGCATTAGTGTACAATAACTCATGACGCATCATTAGTACATACACATACATACAAGACTTCATGATAACAACAATACCATAATGACAATGAGCTGGATAAAGATAATCAAATTCTTTACTCGTCCACTTGTCTACACGGTGTTGCATACTTCATAGTTGATTTTCTCTTTGCAGAAGTAATTGACATAATGATCCTCAACTTATATGGGGACGTAGTTGGCATAATGACTCTCAGCTTCTTTTTTTAGTTTTATATCCTTTGTAGAAACTGTTTTTGCAACTGTCCACTTAATTGCTCCTTGCATATTTCCCATGAATCATAAATTCCAGGATTTTCCCCGGTGTACACAACATACCAGTTCCACTTCATCTTCGTAAATAAATAAAGGAGCCAACAATTCAATTTCATAATTATCCAATCACATAGAGCAAAGTCACACCATAATCTTCATAGCATCATAGACGATACAAATCACCACGTTGCACAGTTCATTAGTAGTTCGGAAGCAAAAGTTTAGCTCCATTATAGCAACATAGAAATTTAGTTCACAGGCATCGATCATATAGATCACATAAAAGAAGTGCACTCGTTGTTCAGCAACATCATGAGCTATCCTCGCCTTCCGTCATCTTCGTGATCTCCTCTTGGGTGGTCCTCGCAGCTTCGACGGCTGCTCACGCACTCTCCTCGGTTGCTCTAGTGCTCACAGCGTCTGCTCTAGTGCTCTCGCAATATGCCTGAGCACTCTCCAAATATGACTGAGCGCTCTCGGTGGCTGCTCGAGCACTCTCGACATAGGCGAGCATGATCTCGGTGTACTGAGCCACCCTCATGACGATGTCTATGGCAGTAAGAATTCCGTCTACGGGTGTAGGAGTCCGAACGAGGCGTCTTGGCTTCTTCATCTAAATCGTATTAAACAATTTGACATTTAGATATAACATTTAGAGAAAAAAACAACACGACTTTGATAGAAATTGGACATGTTGAGTGCCAGAAATTAAGCGAAACGGAACTTAATCCACACTTCGTAAAAACATTGGCACTCACTATGAATACACATGCATCATGAAAAAACTAATGTACCATATGCTCATCCATATGTAGTACATTTTGTGTAGCACACACATTCAATTTTAAGACATTCACTTATGAAGATTCAATGGTACATCATACAACAAATTTTAGCTACACTAATAAAATGTTGTACTAGATTTTTATTCATATGTTGTACATTTTAACTACACTAATAATGTTGTATGAACATTTCTATCCATATGAAGCCCATACCACAAGTAACCATTAACAGAGAGAAGGGAGGTGTGCTTACCGGGTCGGAGTCGGACGACGGTCTGGATGAGGTGGAGGTCGATGGCGGAGGTGGAGGCGGACGACGAGTTCGATGGAGACGAGGACGACATTGGATGCGGAGGAAGGCATGGGCGATGGTCACGGGGCAGTAGTTCGAGGTAGCGTTGCACGGCGACGCCGACGAACTTCGAGGCGGGGACGGATGGCATGTGCGATAGGGAAGATTGTCTCCTCGATGCCATTCAAGGCGGAAGACCGCAACCTCGCCGGTGGCGACGGACGATGCCACGACACTGGCGGCGGCAAGAGAGGAGGAAGAAAGAGTTTGCGTTTAGGATGAGATCCGACTGCCACGAGGGTAGGTAAGGTCTTGTATAGCAGTGACGGGCGCATGGAGTAGCCCTCCACCCCAGTATAAGCGTGGAGGTGGCAACGTGACCAAATATAGCTGTGGCAAGCAACTGCTCGAACCTGCCACCCGCTATCTGAAAATATTTAAAAACGTTTGGCGCCTGGGTTCCCAAATATTGTTGTGACGGGTTCAGAAAGCCGCTCGCCACAATTGTGAAAGTGAACTATGGCGGGCACCTATCTGCACCCGCCACAGTAGCTTGCCAGCCGGGCACGAATTAGAAAATGCACAGGTGTGCCGGGTTATCTTCGGCACCCGCCATAGCTACTTGCA